CATCCCCTTTCTTTGCAGATCTTTATCATGATTTTGATCTCAGTCGTGTCAAAATTAATTCTTTGCTGAAGTGGAAATTTTCCTTCCATTTGATATTAACCAATTAGGGAAGGAGACAAAATCCTTACCGACCTTGCTTTCAAATCCTATCTTTCGCTTTCTTTATCCTGCCAACTAATCAGTGCACTTTCAGATACTATACAGAGTTTTACCCAAACAGGTTGCTGTTGCAGTTTGCTTCTGTGAGTGATGTAATTATTCATGCAGTTAGCAGTTGTATGAATGACTTTAATAAATCAGTTGCAGTGGTGCTTTTGGAAGCCATTCATACTGTTGCTAACTTTGTGAATGGTACCTTGTCTTGTTTGATCCTATACTGCTTTAGTAATTTTAATTGCTTTCTGCGTAACAAACATTACAACTGCTACTTCAAAGGGAATTAAGACTGCTCTGGTTAGACATGAATGCATATCCTACTTAAATACATGTGAAACTTGCCATATAATTAGCTTAGGTTCTTGATTAATGAGTCAGCTACTGCTTCTTTGAAAGTGTCCAGGACTTTATAAATAAGTAGCCTGCTTGTCTGTGACAAATAAGAATCTGCCCTGGGTAGTCAAGCAAACAGTGGGTTTTTCCACCTCCTTTATGTCAAAATGACATATATTGGAGAAGGATGGAAACAAACATTTGTGAGCTAATTATATATTTGCAGTAGAGCTTGGTGGCAAAGGTCTGGTTCTCTTGTCTGGCCTATTTTTTTTTAATAACCTCACTTTTCTACAAAGTATTAAAACCAAAATCAGAATGTGTTTTGTAGCATGCTTGGGCATTATTCTAAATTCATACTGTGAATTTGAAAAGGCTAATTTTGAAAAATCCTAATCCAGCTCCAGCAGGAAGATGAGAGTGATCTTGACTGATGCAATCTAAGAAGCTTTGAAATATGAAGACTTGGTGATCTGGTAAAGCCAGTAGATGTTAATATTGGCATGTGTGCTCTTCTTTGGTAGGAGATGATGGGGTATATCTTCAGCCACATGCCCTTAGGGAAACCCTCCACTCATACTATGAAAACTAAACTTGCTTTGTAGCTAATGAGTTGAATTTGCATTCACAAACACTTCCCTCATAGTTTTGTATTTGTGGTGCTATAGGGAATGATGGTTGTTTCTAAGTGTTTGACCATGTGATGATGGCTATCTGTGGCTCCATCCAAACCATTTCACAGGCCATAGATCCCTTTCTTCCCCTGCATATCGTAGTAACAGAGTTGCCAGAAGTTTGTAGGAGGGGGCCCAGACTAATGTCTATTGCCTGTGACCTTTGGGTATGACAGAGCACCTGAAATGGTGACTGTTTTAATAACAGAATTCTACAGTTACTCTATGTGGCAGGATAACTTTTTCCTCCCTATTGAATACCAAAAAGAACTCTCTCACTTTGAAGTCATTGCTGGTCAACCCTTACGATAGATTTGGTTACCTTATAAGGGTGTTTAAGTACAAGACTGGAAAAAAATTGTGTACAATGAGAGTGGTTGTACAATTGTATATTTTTAAATTATATCTGTAACTTCCTCACCCTTACCTGCTTTTTTCCCCTCTCTCCCGCCACTTCTAAGGTTATTTGAGCATGCATTCAGCTTTGAGCTCTCAGTCTTCTGTCGATAGCGAACTTAGTACCTCAGACGACTCCATTTCAATGGGCTACAAACTGCAAGACTTGACTGACGTACAGGTTATGGCCCGCCTACAGGAAGAAAGTATGTGAAAGCGATATATAGTATTTCTGTCTCCACATCATCTTCTGCAGGAGGATTTTTTTTAGAAACGGTCGATAGTACAAAATATTATTTTTCTGTTTATTGAATTTAGTTAGAAACAGCATAAGAGTACCCATGGATAGTTTCTTAGATGAGTAATTGGATGTCTCTGCTAGTAAGTTAGAATGTCCCCATTTAGTGACATGAAGCCTGTCTGATGCTGCTTTGGCTATGTCAGTCTAGGAGCACCTGCTCTGGAACTCATTACAGCTGCTTCTGAAGCACAAGGGTGTTCCTGCATTGCTTAACAGACTTGGGGAAAAGAAAAGGACTAGCTGTTAGAACAGGTTACAGTAGACCAGCTCATTATGGAGCATTTAGGCTTGAAATTGCAGCTTTGTGAATGAACTACAATATCCCACTATGTTTCTCGTAAGCTAACAAGAGGTTCTTTATAGTTCAGTATATTTTATCATTTGATTTTTTACTCTTAAACGTGAGTAGAATGAAAAGGTTGTAGAATGAAAAGGCTGATATGCCTAAGTTTACCTAAACTTCTGAGGAAGGCCCTCTGGATTTACAATGTGCTGTCAGTACTAAAACTCTAGTGATTGTCAGTCTCTGTTTACTTATGCCCCCAAATACAGATACCGGTTGTGAGTGCTGAAATATATGTGAATTACTAGTTCTGAGATTGTGTCTGCAGAGGTGTTAAGGCTGGATTACAACCCTCATTTTGGCGCCTTTAAAGTTATTGAGGCTACAGGCAGGAAATGCTGTCATTGCTTCCTATGTGCTTCACTTGGGTTGTATTGGGTAGAAGTCTGATGTGTTTGCTTTTATGTCTGCTTTGCTAGCCCATTAGTGGGTAATGTTGACATATTATCACCGGCATGTTAGACGGTATGATCGAGAAGTAACTATGTCTTCTGTGGCTGTGGCCATACCTCAGGTCTTCGCCAGGATTGTGCCTCCAGCTCAGCCTCTGTTTCCCGCCGCAGTTCCAGCGCCTCCTTGCATTCCTTGCGCAGAGGCACCTACAGTGACCAGGATTTTGACACATACAGTTTGGAAGATGAGGATGATGACTGCTCCTTCTCCTATCACAGCAGTCACAGATATTCTCCATCCCCGCTCAGTTCACCACGATGCCAGTCTCCATCCACAAATACAGATTATGGGAGGGCCACAAATACCCGGATTCGGCCCCCACGGAGGACAGTGCAGAGTCCTATGCAAGACAGACTAAAGTATTCCGGGAATGAAGGTATGTGGCACTGTTTCTGAGTCTTGCAAGGTTTTTGAGTGAGTGCCTATATAACGACAATTGGATTTTTCATTCTTGTTATGTATCATTTACAGAGGAACTGCGTCATAGCATGCCTAATCTGGCTAGGACAGGTCTGCGATCTTTGGAGTCAGTAAGAAATAGCCGTAGCTTGGAGTCAGATTTACAGATTCCCAGTAGTCGACTCTCTAGAATCCATCAGGAATCAGTCAGTAAGTTGGCTTCTTCTGTGAGTATTCCGTGACATTTCAGTTGGCGCTATTATTGAAATAGGAAAGATACAGTGTTGTTTGATAGATCTTAGTTGGCCCCAAGTTTTAATGGAGCTGCACATTCCCTGAAGTAATTGTTTTAAGTTTGGGAGTACTTTGGGGTCCCTCTTTGTTTTTAGTTCTTACAGTATTGACCAGAAGTGCCTTTCACAACTTCATCTGGTAAATCAGCTGAGCCTTTTCTGAAGAAGTGTGCCAGACCATAGTCATTCTTAATGTAGGAATCTCAGTTGGATTATTCTAATGCATTCTACATAGAGCTGCCCTTGAAGATTGTTCATAAATTTCAGCTGTCCAAAATATGGCAGTTTCATTTGCTAACATGTGTGTTATATTACTATGGGTTTTGCCAAATGTTTTGGCTACTAATTTAATTTCTGGGTTCAATTAGCGATTTGCCTTCTATAGCCCTCTATGGCCTGGATCTGCTTCAGCCATGTGAATCTGCCTGAAAACTTTTCTCTCCTTCTGATCCCTTCTGTTCTCTTCCCTGCTGATAAATGTATGACAAATGGAGATGAGAAATTGAGCTCTTTTGAATATGGCACCAAAATAGACATACATTTTATAATTATTAACATTGTCTCTATTTCACTTTTTCCTCCATTCTGCTTTAAGGTCTGACTTCAAATAAGCTCCGCTATTCCTCTGGTGCTGGGCAGTCCCCCTTGACAGTTCGACAGCCCATGAAAGCAGGCTCCTCTGCTAATGCTCTTCTAACACCACGGCAGCCAGTCAGAGCTGCTGGGTATGCTAGTCCTGCTGGCAGAGTCCGAAAGCTGCAGTCTTCCACACTGAATCCAGGCGCTTCAGGTAGTGGCAATTCAGTGTACAGAAGCAGTAGTATGGCCACAGGAGCAAAAAGCTCTCTCCCTAAAAATAAAGCATCGGTTGCAGGAGCATCCAATCTGAAGAGCAAGCTGACCCAGCCAGCCAAGAGGTGAGAGCTAAAACTTGAAACACCAAGCCCATATGGATGATGTGTTTGGATTGTGATCTAAAACCTGAGGACTACTTCGTGTGCTTGACTTTACCAACAGCATTGATTTCTAGTATGATGTCTACTGTACTCATCTCCCCAACTCTGCTCACCATGTGGAATATTCCATCACCTAGTAAATGTAATAAAGCTCCTAAAACCTGAACTGCAGGATGAAGGGTTGGGAATGATCTTGTGCCAGCTCCCAAAATGGCTAAGAAACTACCCAATCTAGCAAGCCAAAGAAAGACTCCAGCTCGAAGCTGGGAAGAGTTTCTTTCATTGTAAAGAGGCCCCCATCCTCTTTCCTGGTTTCAGACTGGATCTAGGGAGGAGAGCACAGGATTGCCCTGCATGGCATTTCAGAGGTGCAGTTGAGGGTGATTATCAACTTGACGTTCATGTGTAAAACTGTAGGCTTGTTCTTTAAAAAACTTTATATCCTATCTAATTTCATTCAGCAGCGATCAATATTTATAACAGACCATGAGCCAAAACAGATAGCAAGAGGTACTTGCTTTTTAAGTAAAGAATTTTTTTGTTGACATCTAGTAACGGATAACGCTACAGAAGTCTCCTGTCTTTTGACTCCTGTTTATTAAAGCATCATGTAAGTAAGTATCTCTCCATATATCCCAACAGGTTTCCAAAGGCTAACGTGTCTGTCGACGACTCTTGGAAAGATGGGTGTTACTGAATCAAACCAAAAAGGCTGATCATGAACAATGTTGGGTATGTAATTGGACAACAGCCCAGCTGGCTGGGCAGGAGGACACACTTCAGCCTCCGTTTCTCTCCATTGCCACCATGCTTGACAAACTGGAATGATGTTTTTCTGAATTTGGACAACCTTTTGCCTTTGCTTTGATGATGGACGTTGACTGCTTTTTTTGTTCCTGCTATTACAGTCTTACTGCTGAGCCTTGATTAAAGTCGTTCTTGTACCTGAAGGTACAGATGGCTGCCTGAGACACACATTTGAAGATTTGTTCATGGTATGCACGAGGAGGGGAGAAGAGCATGGGATAGAGCTCCTGTGGCAATGAGAATGTTTTTGAGTCTGTGGAGTTTTTTTCTCTCTTGCAAAAGGCAGCTAGAGAAGGTAAACATAATTAGAAATGACTGTTTCTTAGGTCGCTTGGAGTAATTTAACTTTTCTAGGAAATTCAGAGGATTTTTTTACTTGTCCTGAACAGGCATCTCCACTACTTTATTATTATAAAAGTTGAAGCAGGTTTTTTTATAATAGCTAGTGCATCATCTGTCACAGGAGAATGTCTTAAGCTGATGTCCCCATCACCTCCAAGACTGTTATGTGCTGTTGCCTGCAGGCTGATGCGTACCCCTTCAGTGAAGTCTTATTTGCCCGTTTGCTCTCTTCCTTATCTTTTAGCTAGGCAAGACTTAGTGTGGGTAGTAGCAGCACCTTTGCCAGCTAAAAATGCACTTGAAGTGTTCCTTTCCCTAATCATCTTCACTTAATCCTTGATACTAAAATCTACTTTTCTGCTTTTGTACAAGTCTTTTCTACTGTCCATTTTTTTTGGTTGGTTTTTGGATGAAGGAACTTGTTTTTTAAATTAAATCAGTGGCTACTGGAGCTTGCCAAATGCAAGAATACAATCATACCTGGGAATGCAAACTGGCTTGCCAGCCAGCCCTACTTCTTGCCACCAATGTGACTTGATATTGTAGTTAATAAATGTGAAGGGGCTAGTGCTACCTTGTCTTTAGTAGCAAAACTGTGTCCTGCTGCTTTTTTTACATAGATAGGGTAGGTAGTATCCTTAAGCAAAAAATGTGTTTTCCCCCAAACAAGGTTCATCCCTGATGAAGGCAGCATAGATTTTTAATGAAAAAGGTGGAAGAAAAAATCCACTGACACTTAGCAAAAGCAGCAATAATGCTTTGATATGGTTAAAACCAAGGTGATGACCCATAAAAACACACAGTGAGAATTCATGAACTAATTTTAAGCATTCCTGTTGGTAATTTGCCAAATGAATGAATACTTGGTACAGTTGGACATTTTGTGTTTTTCCTGGCTGTTGGGCTGAGTGGTTTCCTTTTGATTCAGAAATGTTAATAACACTTAATTGTAACCACCCTGACTTAATTAGTAGGTATAACTACTTCTTGCTGAAGCTATTATTACTTTGTGGATGAGCTCACTGGTCATCTGATGCAACAGGATGGCACCTTTAAACAATTAAGAATGCTTATATAACCTCTCTGTTTGCATTTGTTGTGTGATGCTTCATGAAGTAATAGCTGAAGCTTCCCCTGAAACTTAGAGATGGACAGCTGGTACTCAGCAGCACCTCAAAGGGTCATCAGACAGTAGATGCAAGTGAGAATTTGTGTAATCAGATGTTGAATGGGCATGTTGTAAAATGTTCTAGCCCACTAAGAATGCATCCTGAAAGAGTGGCTATTAAATATAAGTATTATTGGATGTTCACTTATAGAATACTGGCTGGCCAGTAGGCGATTTCAGATTTTTGAACCATTCTGTAAACACTTGAGACAATGTTGTGAAACTAACTAAAAATAAGGTTGTGGGTGAGAGACCACTGTGGACTGCCTTTTATAGGCAGCAGGGGATAATTCACACCATAGACTGCTGGTGGTAACATAGCCATGCACTTTTTCTGGCAACAGAACTGAAGTTGTTTGCAACTGCGACTTTCTGGAAGGTTTCTGGCATTCCACGCTAGCCTGGTAGTCTCTCATCCATGTGCGAACCTGCTCCAACCATAAAATCAGTGAAGATCAGAAAGGTACTGCCACCAGATGTAATGGTGTAATAGTCATGTGAAACCTCTTAGAAAAGAGCTCAGTGTGAACTCTGAAGTAAGCCCACTGATTTTCTACTCTTGGATCATGTGCCTCTAGCACTGTGTTTTCAGAACTTTATAAAAGTAAGTCAGCTGTCAATAAGGTATTTTTACGAGGAGAAAGACTGATATCAAGTGTCTGTAGTTCAGTACATTTATTTAAACAGATCTAACTTTATTTTACAATAATGCATCAGTGCATTTTATTAAAACAGGAGGAAGCAGTTTACAGAAAGGCATTCAAAATGATAGAAAATTAACAATTGCTATTAACATTTTTTAAAACATGCACAATTAATTCAATGTTGGCTTGTCCCTGCAAAGATATTTGGTGGAGAAAGGGAGGAAAAGAGCCTTTCTGACCATGGCAAACAAGGGAAGCTGCAGCAGGCCTAACCTCTGCAGGATGCTGAGGAGAGCAAGCAGAGTCTACCTCTGTCCAGCTGAAAACTAGGATGAGGTCATAAAATACCAACACTGGGGGAGAATGAAGAATCTTCCTATTTAAGATGTTAATATATGTCCTCCAGAAGCCCTTTACATTATGCGGGGGGGGGGGACGTTTTTCACAAGTGGTTTACGGCAATTTTATATTAAAGGTTAGTTTTCAATACTTCATGCTTCTCCATAGCCTTTTCCTTGAAAATCATTAGCTTGGGATCCCGATTACCTTTCAGATGCCTGCCTCTGTGCTTTTGAGTTAGGCACAATAACTCCACCATGCTCAAAAGGAAGAGGGCAGTCACCAGACTCACACAGCGTGTGATACTTGGACTCACTGGAACAGCTTTTAGACACATCTCAGGAGATGAAGCCACAGCTGAGTTCCATAGCACAGTTTGAAAGAACATTCCAAACTAGGCAAGAAGAAAATAATCCAAGACACAAAAATTACAAATAGTAGCAATGTTACAGCAATATTAATACTATATACTTACCAGTCACCCAAGTTGAAAAGCAGAACCCCTTCATTTGCCCAACAAGAGGGCCACAAAGGAAGCTTCGAAGGACAAAGCTACAGCCTGTCATGAGCTTAAGAAAGGCACTGCAGGAAAAGCAATTTTAGTAAGAGCTGATCACATATCTGGGCTAGGTCTATGAATAAGAACTCATTGGCTTCAGTGGTCCCCACTCACATATCCCCTAAGGTACATGGGGCCTTCAGCTCCCCCAACCTGCTCCAGCAGCACTCAAGGACAGTAAAGTGCAAAGCATGATAATGCAGATATTTAGAACCTCCCATTGTTCAATGCCTTCCTTTCCCTTCAGGAAGTTCTGCCATTTCAGAGAAAACATCCTTCAGGTTTTGAAGGAGTACACCCATGTCCTTACAAGGTGATAAGGCAAAAAGACTCAAGTGTCCTGGAAGGATGAAGAGAGTGAAAGTCCACATGTGATGAAATACATTCCTGTGCATCTGTGCTTTCATGTGGTTGACTGGCTCAGACAGCTATTTCTGTACACAGCTTGGCCAAGAGAGGCCCCCGCAGGCAGCTGACACGATGATATAAATGATGACCTGTGGGGGGGAAAGTGTTTAGGAATGTCCACCTCCACATGTCACTGGAGGAAGAGAGTCTACAGACCAGTGCTTGGACAGGCTGCTGCACTGCAGCACAAGCCACCTCAAGATTTTTCTTGTTCAAGATGGATGTTCTAGCTGATCACAAAATATAATGCAAGAATGCCAAAAGGCTTCAGTATTTCAGGGTATCAAAATACAGCACTCAGACCTGAACAGGGCTCTTCGTTTATTCTATGTGCATCCTCGTCCCACAAAAGCTTGGAAGGAAATAAGGCAGAGCAGGAAACAACAGAAGAAATCTATATGGGAGAGCAGATATCCCAGCCTTCCATAAAGGAATAGAGTTCTCACAGAGTTATTCTCTTATAGACCAGGACAAGCATAAGAGGACATATTTTCCTTTTATAGCCAGCAGAGTCCCTCTACCTCCCCAAACCTTCATAATGGAAAACAACTTACAATTGATACTATGGCAATTATGATGGTGAGCTTTAGGTTCTTCATGCACATTGCTCGGGCCAGGTTCCTGCTAGTTGTTTTGAAAGTGACAGACTAGGGGAGGAAAGCACAGGAGAGCAGTTAACACAGACTGCGCCCGATGTTTTGTCAGTCTGTTCAGAAGACACCAATTCCTCCCCACCGAAGAAATGTTATTTAACTGTTACTTTAATTCATACTTTTGATACACCTTCTGGAATGCCTTTTTGTTTTTTTAATTTCCTGACAGTCTCCCATCCAAGTACTATCTATCTCTGACCTTTGCTTTGAGATCACAGCAGGAGCACCTCACTGCCCTCTGCTGGAGATTCTTGACTAGGCTTCGGTGACATTCAGAATACAGGAAGTCCTCACTTAATGACCCTAACTGGGACTGGCAACTTGGTCACTAAGCAACATGGTTAAGTGAAATGCCACGTGAATGCTTAGCGCTGGCCATTCTGGCAATCCCAGTTGCTGTCATTGAGCAAATCCCACACAGTTGTTAGGCAAGGACCCACCCAGATCCAAGCCATTCTGGGAAGAAGGTAAGGGTCTGTCTCTACTTCAACCCCCCCTTCCACCTATCTCCCCCCCATCTCTGCCCTTTTGGCCACCTGGCCTTGCCTGCCACCAGACCACGTGCCACTACCAGCCGGGTCCTCCTTTTGTGAAAAAAGGCCCTGGCTGGCACACAAGAGAACCACCTGGCTGGTAGTGGCACGTGGTGCAGCACACACACACCTGCAGCTCTCACCCACAAGCCTGCAGGATGTTTCCATGCTACCTCTCCCACATATGGCCAGGATGGTGGGCCCAGCGGAGGGGAGGCAGGCCAAGATGACAATGAAGGTTAGTGGGGGTGGGGCAGCGGTGGGGGGAGGTCATAAATTTGGGACTGAATTTTGTTCACATGGCTGTGGGGGCACTGCAACAGCCAGAACTTCAAGGACCGATCATAAGTCCCTTTGTTCAGTGTTGTCATAACTTTGAATGGTCACTGAACAAATGGACGTTAAGTGAGCACTACCTGTATTCCCAATTGCTGATTTTTAGGCAATGTTATTCCCAAGAACACCCACAGCTGCCTTTGCCTATGTAAGACCAGTTGATTTCTCTCTGCAAGGTCAAAACTCTCAAAATCTGCCAACTACCACATGCTACTTTTGCTCTGAAAAGAGAAATATTTGGCTAGGTATATAGAACTCTAGCAAAGAAACATGTAGTTTGTTTTACTGTCGTAAATACTCAGATTAGAAGGTACGTTCCGAAAACATGCGCTCTATGTTTTAAAAGCCAGCTAGTCCAAGAAAAGGCTTCGCCTGTATATACTTTCATTTCCTCCCCCACCCACCCCGCAGGCCTTCCCTCAAGACAGAGCCAACCCTAATGAATTCACTCAACCATCTTCAGAACTTACCGAATCCACAAGGTTTTCTGTTTTGTCTATCAGCAATTCCAGCTTTTCTCCTCTTTGAGCCACAAGATCTTGGATAAAGAGGGGGCAATTGTAAGAATTCCAATGGAAAAGCGACTCTCCAGCAGCATTTTCCCACATCACAAAAACTGGATAACAGCATTGCACCGTGCCCAGGTATTTGGTCTAATTACACTTGGAGCAAGTTCCTTAATCAAGAGTTTGGAGTATGAAACACCCTTCAGAAGTTCACAGAGGATCCAGTAGATTTGGAAGCTAATATATCCCCCAGTTCAAGCAAAAACAGAGCAGAAGTAGTATAAATGGCTCTTACTTTGTTCCACCCAATCTTTTTGCCAAATAAGTTGAAATGCAGCCCACAGGGTTCCTGTCCTTTTCCCACTCATACCCTTCCCACAAAGCATTAGCCCTTGCCAAAACACATCTATATTTCTTGTACCTGCATCACCCTCACTCAGTCACTCTTACAAGCATAAGAGTCATCCATACCTATATTGCGGACCATGATCCCTTTAAGTTCATCCACCTGAGCCTGTGTCTCTGCCATCTGGTCCGGGCCTTTGTTCTCGGAGTGATATTTCTACATGACAGAAGAACAGAGGAAATCTAAATGCTACAGAAAATCAAAGATGTGAATAAATGGTGGAGACGGAACTTGGGAATGGTACTTGTAAAACAAGTCTAGCTAAAAAAAAAAAAAAAAAAGACCCTAACATACAATAATACAATCTCATGATGCATTGACAAAAGCAAAGCACCCAGGACACAGGAAATAAAAACTCTTTTTTGTGTGTGTTAGGTCACATTTGCCCAGCTCTTGGAACCACATTTTAAGAAAGCCAAATTAAAGAACATGCAGAGACCCAACCAGGATAGTGGGAAGTCTGCAAACCATGCAGTGGCTAGATGAGCTAAGTAAGTTTAGTAACCTGGGAAAGGCAGCATTACAGAAAGGCAGGATACAAGTCCTCAATAGCTAAAAAGTTATCTTGCAGAATATTGAGCAGAACTGGAGAGAAGTGAATTATGATTAAACGTTAAGAGAAATTACCTAAATGTAATACCTGTTCTGCAGAGGAACAGCCATATCTCAGGAAGTGGTGAACTCTTCTTCACTTAAAGTATTTAAGCAAACTAAAATGATTCCTTTTATGGTTTATGACATAATCAGCCTTGTACATTTCAAGGCAAGATGCAAGAATCATATTTAAATGAGCATGTACATTTTTCTATGAGCAATTTTTAAAAGAGGCAATGCTAATGCAACCTCAAAAATAATCCTCTTGGGTTTAAAGAAAACTGATCACCCAGTTTTAATTCAGAATAGTCTGTCATCAGAAGATTAGATGGTTTACATCTAACTCCAGAAGGGGCATGTGTAGTTCCACTTCCCAAATGAAGGATCTTCAGAACGACAGCACAGGATCTCACCAGTTGTGCTGCCAAAACACTGGAAAACTCGCTGTTCATGGCGTATGGCAGGGCGGTCTGTGCTCGAGAACCATAGGTGGTCTGAAACCTCTTCTTGATTTCATTCAGGAATGTGAAAGCTCTGGAACGCTCAAAATTCTGAAGGGAGAACAAAATAGACAAGTATTAACAGCTGCAAAACATGACAGCTTAGTATACTATTTGCAGCAGAAAGGTAAAATACACAGTGAATCACTGGAAGGGTCATACATAGATCCAAGCAGTATATCGAAGCAGGAAGTACCAGGGGCAGATAATGAAGCCTTTGCCTTCATATCCTGTTAGTGAGTGCCCAAACTGGCCAGCTGCTCTTAAGAATACAATGGTAGATTTTTAGAATGATCCAATTGAGCAATTCTTAGCAATCTGCTTCCCAGATCTGATCCATATATTTTAATCTGAAGGTTATTCTTAAAAGCAAATTTCCATGGTAGAAGCCCCACTTTCACTCACACCAAGTTCTACGTAACTAGGAACCTCTTTGGGTACTCAAGTAACAAAATAACAAGAATCTAGTTTTCTTGACAGGATAACTTCCAAGGTTATCACAGCATGAAATATCCTTACAACAATGAAAGGGAGCAAGAGCAAATCCTTTCAGTGCAACAATATCCCAAGGGCATACAACTGTATTTGCCCATTTCCAGCAACCACCTTTAGAGAGTGCAAATTTCACCCAACGCCCCATCACAGCTTTCTCCCATATACTTACATCATCTGTGATGCAGAGGTATATAATCCGGTCCTGACAGATATAGTGGAACAGATAACTGAGGGGAAAACAAGACACCAAATACAACATTCTCAAGAAGCTCTAGCAAGACAGAGATTTCGACATAATGGCATGCAGGACAGAATATACCATGCTACATGACATTTAAATCACTTGTTTTGTTCAGTTCATGCATCAACAATTTTGCTGGCAATCACATTCCAATTTCTCAAGATACTGAACTCTCCTTCGAGTTGGGATCACCTTATGATAACTTCATGGATATGTCATAGATACTTCCATCTTGTTTTTTGGGCAGCGGTGTGGAAGTGGTTTGCCTTTTCCTTTTTTTTTTAGCCGCCCCCCCCCAGCCCTTTCCCAGGTTAATCTACAGTATTAAAGAGGAGGGAGCTAACCAATAATTTAAGAGATGAAGGAAAGATGCAATTACTATCTATCTAAAAAAAAAAAAAGCTACGTCTATTTGGTCTAAATAAAAAATACAGAAGCAAATACTAAGTATCGCAAAACGATAGAATAATTCTAATTGAAGAATGGGTCCAAGCTTGCAGGGCTGTTCCTAGCACATTTTCACTTTATGCAAAGCTTTAGAAAAGTGTGCTGCCGTGCTTATCTTTTGTAAAACTCAGAGCCTCCACTGATATCTATCAACTAAACACTGTTTAGGCTCAGTCATACTATCTTGTATCATGCTACCTCAGCATCTATTGGCCCCAATCAACAAACCTAGGTAGCGTGCAAACCAGCGGCCCATGTAGAAGGGCCCACATCAACTGCAGCCATCTACAATCTTAGGGAAAACTTGCAGACAGCATGAATTCTTTCGCTGGGTAGCTAAATCCTACAAATGCAAGCCGTTGGCTAGAAACTAATTTGCAATTCTATCTACTTATAGAAGAAGGGCAACTCACAGCCATGTACAGCCCTCCACTATTACTTCCTTTTGCAAATCCCAAAGTAGTTCCTGAGTGGGTGGGACAAAAATATTTAGCCCATTTGTTGGAAGTGAGAGTTAATGAGGAATTGGGTTACTTAAACACTGAAAAAAAGCTTCACCTCTTTAAAAACAAAAAAACAAAAAAAAGTTCAGTTTTCCCATTTGGGCAGTTTAAGTAGCAGAATGATTTACTGCCCCTCACAACTTTTGTCCCATTCCCACAAAGACAGGATATCACTGGACGGCTTTCAGGGGTCCAAAAATCACAAAAGGAACTACAGGCCTCACGTTTACCAACATGCAAGTCCAAAATTCTCGCTGAGAATCCCTGTTCTCTGGAAATTATTTCCAATGTTTTTCCTCAGCCAGTATTACCACCAGCCAGACTTGCAGCTGTATATTGATGAAGGCAGGCCTGGTTTAACCTTTGCTCCAGCTGAAGAAAAGAAACTGAGGTATGAAGTATTCCAAGATCATGTGCACATCAGCTGGAACTGACACACCAACGCTTTTCTTTACTGCTCCCTTCCCCAGCCCAGCAGTAAAATGGCTCTTCTCATTTCATCCCATTATTTACATCAGATTCGCCTCCATCAAACTTTGTCGCCTTTCCTCCCCAGAAAAATACTCACTTTCCATGCGAGTAGGTGAGCTTGTTGTTCTCGGAAGGTATCTTGGCCAGGATCTGCTCTGTAACCTCCAGGAAATTCCCTCCACACCATGCATGCTTGGCTAGAATGGTAGAGCCCCTGGCCACAACAGCAAACAGGATCGCCATAGCTGCAGGCTGGCTGCAGGGACAAGAGACACAGAATGAAAATGTTTCTCCTCAGGTCAAAGCACAGCCAAGGCAACACAACACAGCCTGTGCCCCCATCATGTACACAGCTAGAAAAAACAAACGCAACCCTATGCAGAAATCCTATGAGAAGACAGTTCCCCCCCCCCTTTTGAAATGCCGTGGAAAAACTCAGTCCTGTTTAACTATAATCAACAAGCACATTTTAGATAAGCTTGTATCTTACTAGTGACTTGCAACTTCCTGTCACCTAAAATATGCACAAAGTCTGTGCGCTCCAAAAAGATGCACATACCCAAATTAACAGGTCTTACAGGATACAGAAGTAGGGAAACCAAATAGGAAGAGCATTACTGGAATGAGTGGAGAGAAGAGGAAAAGTAGTAGATAATTAAACTGGAAGCCGCTTCCACTAAAGTGCGGGGATCAAAGTATTGGGCAATGTCCTAGCAAAATGCAATCCATTCTGTCTGCTTTGGTTAAGTGCCATGTCAGTGGTAGTGATAGTGACATCTGGGTAATGAATGTCCAAGTTCTCTGCAAGAGAGCAGATAGTTATTTCAAGTAATCTAAGAGAGATTGTCATATTGCTCTAAAAGACAATTTAAATTTATTAACTATGTAGCCATAAGCCATTACATGAGGTTTACACAGAGCAAGATCACCTAATCAATCTTCACTGAGTTAATACAGGGTATTGTTCACGTTTCCTTTAAAATTGACTAACATGGTCCTCCAGTATTGGCTCTTCAACTTTATGGCTGCAATGACTACAGAAGCTACACACTCTGAGATCTGGATAACATAACCAGTAACAACAGTTATCTTTGTCCTTATAGGGCCGACAGTATTCAAGGCCTTGGGGATGTTTTCCTGGACAAATGAATATAAGAGATAGTCAAGAAAGCAATAAGGCAGATGCTCACTTTGGGAATGGCAATATGTACCGAATCCCTAGGAGGACGTGATGGTATCTCCCATCATTGTTTAAAATCTTAGGACTATAAGCATGAAGTTTTACTACCCAGGAAAGTGGCTCTCCCATGGTCTGTTTTCAGCCTACCATGCCATGAAATAAATCCAGAGTTTCTAATGGCTTATCAGATCTAAAATCATACAGAAAGAAATCCAATATCTCAATTTCACAATATTCTCAATTTTCAATATTAGTATATCCATGGATGGGGGAGAATATTACTGCAATAAGTCACAGAATGTCGATTTCCAAATCATCAACACTTCAAAACTTTGATTGACCAGAGATTTACCATCACACTTAAGTGTGTTTATAATAATTAATCAGTTACTATAATTAATTTGGGCTCATGAATGATCAAATCTCATTCTGCTACAGAATAAGACATTACAACAGAAGAAATACAGATCTGGAGGGCAGTGGAAGAGTAAACTGCACCACTCTTCTTCGTTTGGGTTCAGCCTCTTCCACTGCTACAGAAACGCTGCCCTCTGTCAGCTTCCATTTCTCTTTCCAGTTCCTTCCTAAAAGATAACGGTATCACAGCATGTTCAGGAACCACAACATCAGCTCAGAAACATACCGCACAAAGTCTGGCCTATTCTGGCTTCCCAGTGTGATAGACAAGAGCCTCATGTGCTCAATGGACCTAGTCTTTAAAAGTACTTCATGTATTTGAAGTTGTTGCCCTCACACTGTAAACATTTCGTAAAGCTGTGTTCTATTTATGTTTTTGTATAAATCTCCAGAATAAAGTTAGAAGACCATCAGTGTAATCCTAGCCACCTGTTCAGTGTGACTAAGCTTTTCCCTACTTCGCTCAAACTTCTTCTTTTTGCCTTGCCCAATATTGCAAGTTTTATCCATTTTCATTTTATACCTAGCTTGAGGTCCAACTTCTTTCCAGATGGCGTTCTTATCTAAATAGACACCATTCACTCCTTGAATGTGGCCATGACTTTGTATCAAAGAAGCAGTTCCTAGAATGTTGCAAACTTTTCTAAATAAAATCCAGCAGACTCTTCCAAAGAAATGCAAAGCTTTCCTTAATTCTTTCTCTGTGATCTATGTGTCCCCATAAATACAGTGAGAATCATGACCTCACTAGTATTATCAATCCACATCTCTCTTACATCAACTCAAAAGCTGCAAGAGATGGGAAACACTGCTCTTCTTCCCTTAAGGGTGTGGTTTTGTGCCTGAAAAAAACCCACCTTTTCCATGAACCCTTCAGGGCTTCACTGCTTAAATCATATCCTTGCTAAAACTGAGTCTGAACAGATCTAACTAGCCCAAAGAAATAATCTTCCCCCTCGTTCCCATGCCAGATTTTGACAAGATCTTTTGCACAGAGACCAGCTTTCTCAGAGTCTACAAAACACTTTGACAACTGAAACCTGCCCCCCCAAATCAACTTGTAAGACATTGTAAACATGTTAACTTCAACTTTCCTCAATCTGACACATTTCAGCTTTATTTATTTATAAGATTTGTACAGCTGCCCATCTTATGCACTATGACCTTGGGTGACTCACGAGCAATAATAAAACACTAAAAACAGTAATAAACATAAAAGCCGACAAGGAACCTCCCAGAGTCCACAAACACAACACATTCCCACGCATCCAGAACAAAGCTTCCCTGGGCTCCAGCCTGACACTACTCCAAGGCTTGTGGGAAAGGCCAGGAGATAGGAGCCTGCTGGATCTCAGCGGGGAGGATGTTCCTGAGGGCAGAGGCTGCCTCTGAGAAGGCATGCTGCCTAGGTCCTGCTAGACAGCAACATTTAAACCTGGAGTTTAACTGGGCCTATGACTCATGGCATTCTCAAGCAGGTAGGAGTTTTATTTTTGACCCAGTGAGAGAATATCTCACAAGAACGGGTGTGACAATAAAATTGGAGGAAGGTTCATTATGTAAGTTACCCTGAAGTCCTGGAGAAAAGGTGGAAATAAATCCAACAATTCATTAGATGGCAAGATTACCCAGTAAGGTGGTGGGGCTGTTCAACTGGAGCCAGACAGCTAACGGTTGGTATGCTTTCATTTGCATACCTTATTGTAAAACTTTAAATAGTGTTCAATTCCAGCAAGATTCCAAGCGATCCCACCTCAAAGACTCTTCCACTCCTGAAGACCCCATTATTCATGTGCTCCCCAAGGAAGGAAACACTGAGGACCAAGCTGTGCTGCCTGACATCTCTCTCAGGCTCAGAGGTAGAAGAAAGCAAGAAACTTATCATCCTGTGCATCTTTTTCATTAAAAGATAAAGACTTGATGAAGAGATTATTTATTTATTATTAAACTTGTATGTCACCTGACTCCCCGCGACTCTGGGCCACTCATAACAATGAAATTACTATAAAACCAATTCAGAAGAAGACAAAGATGAAGAAGTGATTAAAGATGGTAACAATGACAGAAGGGGAAGCAAGGGGTCTCCCTCTCCCACCCCAAAGACCTGAGTGAACAGCAAAGATCCCCACTGCTTTCTTCTAGGATCCTATTGATTATTACAATCATCTGTTCAATCTGCAAGGCACCTAAACTGCTGTGACGGTGGTGGGATATCCTAGTGGTCTCTCATCCCATTACTAACAGGATTGATGCTGAACTCACAAGGACCACAGCACCTTCCGGAGGAAGAGCCGGGCCTGGGGGATGAAGAGAGCCAGGCCACATTTGCGCAGCACACAAACAGGTCAACCGCGACCCAGAGAGCCAGTCTGGGGTAATGGTTCAGGTGCTGGCCGAGAAACCAGGAGTCTCCCTGAGGCATAAAAGCTGGCTGGGTGACTTGGGGCAGGTCTCTCTCAGCCCACCTCACAATGTTGTTGTGGTGGTGAAAACGGGAGGAGAATTAGGTGTGCTACACACACACACACACACACAAAGTGGGATAAAAATATCATCATCATCATCATCCCAGGTCAGCCACCAGCCGGCTGTGCAAACCCAGCCTGTGCCATTCACCGACAGCGCGCCCCATGGTGCGAGGCCAGAGCACTGGCTGAAAAGACAAAGCCACAGGCCCGACTAGGGGCTGGCCTAGGCCAGGGAGAGTCGGGTTCAAGCCCCTCCTCGGCCACAGAGGTCATTTGGGGCCGGCGGCCCTCTCTCAGGCCGTCCTACTCCACGAGGGAGTTGCTAGGGGTCCACGGCGGGAGGCCTGGAGGCAAAGCGGGGTATAAGTGCACTGGGGGACAGGGCCTCCCCAGCGTTGCCATAGCGACAGGACGTTCACCTGGCTCCCGCGCGGCCCGGGCCGCCGCTACCTGGTTCGGGGGCGGCAGACGGGCCTGAAGTCGGCAGAGGGGAGCGGGCCCGCCGACCGCCCCCGCCTCCGCCTCGGCTCTGGGCAGGCACAAGCACGGAAGGCAGCACCCGTTCCCTACCTTGCTGGGCGCCCGCCCGGAACCCCCTTTCGCTCGCCGTTCTCCGTCGCGTCGTTCGCAAAAGAAACCAAGGCCACGTGAGCTTCCGCTGCAGGCCGCCAAGGCTTCTGGGAAACAGAGTCCGGCCGCAAGACCCGGCCCGAGCGAGGCGCCGCGCCGCTGCCGGGAAGTGTAGTCTTTCGCAAGGAGAGCGGCGGAAGTAGCCACCGATTGGACGATTGGGAGGAAGTAAGGGGGCTGCGCCTTGGACGTTTTTAACCCCTTCAGGGCCGAGGCGTTTCCCGCGGCGCTTCTCGTAGCATCCTCCGTTTGAAAGCGAGAGGGGAGCGGATTCCTGACTTGGGAACTACGACTCCCGGCATCCCCTGCGTCCCAGCGCATGCGGGAAAAATGGGGGACGAGGAGGAGAAGCAGCAGCCGCGCGTGTTGCAGATGGTGAGACTGGGCGAGGGGTGAGGGGCGCCGTTCTTAAAAGCTACCTAGCAGGCCGCAATCCAACAGGTGAAGCCTTTTCATCGGCCTAAACCAAATCAGCAACCACCCAGTTATCGTAATCAGCAATGGAAACCGATGCAGAATATTTCTTCTCAGGCGGTGCTGCTGGGACTTTTAAGGGCTAGTGTAGCAGACCGAAATCCACCAGGTGAAGCCTTTTCCTCGGCTTTTAGCCATTCGAAAGCCACCCTAATTAAGCAGCAGCAGCAGCAGCAGCAGCAACCGCTGCAGAATATGAATTGCAGCCCAGGATAAGATTCTTACTCATTTTTTCTGGCTGATCACTCTTACAGTTCACTTGGTACTACTTTTTCATGGAAAAAAGAGGATATGCTTCTTGCAGGGATCCAAATTAAAGTGCCTCTGGCAACTTTTGATGGACTCAGCTTCCCAGGGGAATTCACCACCTTTCCTCTGGCATTGCCTTAACCAAGTGTTGAAATCTGTAAGCACAGCAAGGATGTAGCAAAAGTATTTTTACAGCAGGCATGTCTGTGCAATATCTGTATAATATTTCTGGGTGGCCGTCCCTCCAATGTATATTCTGCCTCCTTCCAAGGCACTCAGAACACCATATATGTTGCTTTCCGCAACTCTCCTCCTGGAGTTAGGTTAATCTGGAATAAATCCAGCCTGGGGGGGGGGTGTTGCAGGCCCCCGGTTTGCTTCAGCTCCACGGTGGGCAAAGAAAAAGAAGCTTTTCTGATGCTTTTCCCAGCCTGGAAATGCAGCCGGTTGTCAGAAGAAGGACACAACACAGCTGCCATCTGTTCATTCTCTATGTTAATGGGGAGAAATAACCAAGCCTTGAAGCCAAAGGATATTACCATAGCTGGGGAATGGATGAATAGAGAGAATAAGTAGCAGAAAGGGCTGGTGCTGCACCTCCTAACACAGGTGTACTGCTCCCAAGACATTTTTACCAAAGAAATAAAAAAGATACCCCACCCTTACCTTCCAGCTCCTGATGAGATTTTATTCCTGTCCTCCTGCCTGCAGGTACGAGCTGAGGGGTCAGACAAGAGCTGTGTCACGTTTGTGCTCCACAATGAGGACCACACCCTTGGCAACTCTCTGAGATACATGATCATGAAAAAGTAAGTAAAGGCTTCTGTTGCCAGGTGGATTCAGCACCAAGGTTTCTCAATAGGATAGGGAAGGGTTTCTGCTTCGAAGACAAGAAGAACAGCTTCAGAGCACACAGGGGCACTCCTATAATACCTCTTTACCACTCAGTAAAGCAGTTGGGCCTTTCCTGGGATTAAGCACAACCACCGTGAAATCACATGAAAATCACATTTGTTTGAGGGGTTGCAGACAAATACGACCTGCGCACACTTTCAGAGCACCTTTTCGCCTCGAATCCAAAGCATTGCTGCACCCCGATCTCATAAATTAGTTGTTGCCGTTTGGAGACAGTGATACGGTTCACACTTCACAGTAAACGGTGGTTTGCTTCACTGCGGTTTGTTAAATAGGTGGATGGGTTCTCCAGTGCACGAAATCGCACAATGGCTTTGTATAATGGGGGTGCAGTGGGACATGCAACTGGGTGTTTATATGAATCTGAATATCTTAATAAAGAGTATTTGGATGAAGTAGGTGATTTGGGACTGGCTCTTACAACTTAACTTAAACATTGCTATGCAGTTGGAGACGGCTGCTCGGCATCTCTACTTCTGAAGAAGAAAGTAACACTGGCTAAAACGGCTTTTGTCAGTTTTACGGCCCCAGCTTAAGTGTCGGTTTGTGGTTACAATTTCACAATGGTTTGGTATTGTCTTTTGTCACTTCAGGCATAACACAAAATCACAGTAAAAAAAAATTTTGGCAGGATATCTGAACAGAAGTGCTTTTGGTTGTCCATCATGCAGCATATACCTGTTTGAGTATTGAGCGTAGAGCCTAGCTTTTCCTAGTGTATAATTTTCATAGCAGCAGACGCACACAGAACATCCTCTCTTCTCCTCCTATAATCTGCTCTTTGTTTCTCTGTAGCCCTGAAGTTGAGTTTTGCGGCTACAGCATTACTCACCCCTCTGAAAGCAAAATCAACTTCCGCGTCCAGACCAGAGGTAAGAGCGCGCAGCTCCATTTCCTGAAGGGCCACAGAATTGGCTTGCCAGCTTCTTGTATCATGAGCAGAAAACTCGTGCCAGCTTTTCTGCTCATGAGCTCCATTGCCCTGGGGAAGATTGTCTTTCCAGAATGATTACACGTCGCCATCCATTTTAGGACAGGGAGGGAGGGAGAGATTCTGAACTAATTCTGCACTAATTAAACCACAGAGCAAGGATTTTGTGCATAAAAGATTTGTGCAGAAAGTGCAGCTTCTGGGCCCTATAAAACTTACCTTCTTTGGCCTCCCAGATTGCAATATGTCAAATGTTTCATCTTTTTTTTTTCTTTTCATTTCTGCAGAGAGGAGGTTAAGAGGCAAAGATGTTGTCTTAAATCTTGCAGAAACTTAAGATACTTAAGACACTCTTCCTTTCTTAAAACCCTTGAATGTCTCCCTCACAAACTGGATCCTTTTCTCCCCCAGGATAGCCTTTGACATGCCATTGGATCTCTGGCATGATTCTTAAGCCAGGAGAAGTTTTGCACCATGACCCAGAATTTAAGATATTGGCTAAGAGACCGAGGAATTGGAAGTGTCCAGTTAAAATCTGGCTTCTGCTATGAACTTGTCTAATGGTCTTGAGCAAGCCATTCTCTCCATCCTGAGATTGTTCCCATCTCTGCCTAGTTTCAGGGAGAATAATACTAAGTACAGAGATTGCTCTAAGAATTGTAGCTACAAAGTGTGTATGAAATGGCTGATGTGGGTCTCCCGGGCTGTGTGGCCGTGTTCTGGAAGTTTTGGTTCCTAAATATTTGGTTCCCATAAATACCCACAAAGGGTCACATCATCCTGGGCACAGAGAGAACCGCTCCTGTCCATGCTCCTGTCCTCTGAAGAGGCCGGTCACAGATGCTGGCAAAACGTTAGGAACCAAAACTTCCAGAACATGGCCACACAGCTCAGAAGACCCACATCAGCCATCGTATTCTGGGCGTGAAAGCCTTCGACCTTACATTGTGTATGAAACGGTTTGGATCTTCAGATGCTACACAGATAATAAGTATGCAGCCTGCTTTAGATAACTTGGTTGTTTGCCTTTGATGGCCAAGAATTGCATGCAAACATAAATGCAGAATATATAGGCAGCAGTATATATAGAATATATATATATATAAACAAACAAATATAAATAAACAAATAAAAAAATATTTAAAGGGTATATGCAGAATATATGGGCAGCAGCAGGGGAGGTCAAAAGGCCAGATCACCATCAAGGCACAAGTACAAAGGGGCGCGTTTTGGTTGGCACTGCCATGGCTGCCATCTTGACTTTTTGGACTTCCCTTCTGCAGACTGCCACTGCAAACAGGCCAGGAAATCAGCTGGTGGGGGAGGCAGAGGGCTCAGCTCCTTCTTGGTCTTCCATGCTAATGGCAGAAGGGGGTTAATAAAAATGCAGCATAATAATTACTGTTCACATCACTCACTGACAAGGGGAAATACAGGAACTGGAAGATAAATGATTTTTATCCTATTAGGGCTCCAGGGGATTATATAGTTTTTAGCATTTTATGACTTTGATCATCGTATTGATGTGAGCTACGTACTTAGACTCTGGTGATGTGAGCAGTGTTCAAATACTATAAAATAAATAAAACTGACCTATTGTCTGATCACCCAGGGGGCCTACCTGCGGTGGAGGCGTTCCAGAAGGGACTGGAGGACCTTATGGGTGTCTGCCAGCATGTACTTAGCACATTCAAGGTGGGTCAGAGCGGTTTGCCCAGCAGAGCAGCATGTAACATGTTAGGGAAAGGAAAGATAGAAGGCTGCAGATGAAACTAAGTCAGACCAACAGTTTTGAAGCTAAATGGCACAGGGAGTAAGAAACCTGACATAGAACACCTTGAAAACCCAAACTCTTCATTGGACAGCGATGCCTAGGGGGGTCGTCAACATCGGCAAGGTGGTGCATCATGATATATAAGCAGGCACGGATTCAGGTCTTCACAAAGGCTGGGCTTACAGTGCAATCCTCCATCCACCATCTTGCTGCCTCCCTGCAGATTCACTCCTGTTGGATACCATGAAAGGGCAGTGCTCCTTTGATCTAAGGGGTGGCTGTCATATCTAAGCCAGTACAGGAAGTGGGACCCTCTTTCCAGCAGTTGGTCTCCCAATCTTCTTCATCCCAGACGCTTGTAGTGCTATCTTTCTGACAGGGTTTGGATCTGGAACAGGGAACTGTGTCGAAAGGTGGATCAGAATGAGGGAAGCAGTGCTGTGGAATCACAGTGCAAGCCCCGCCCCTTATTGCACGCATCATGATGTTGCACACATGTACAAAAGGGGCAGGGCTTGGAATGTGATGTCGTTTTGGTCATTGTGACGAAAGCCTGCCAAATGCCCCTGGAAGAGCCTGGATGCCATTCTAAGGAGGAGATCTTAAGAAACCAATTATTTGTGGCCATTTTCGGGCTCGGATGGTGTACAAGCAGAAATCCATTAATAAAGGGACTGGTCTAACTGACTTTTGATGTACTGCCTGTCTCTGATTCTGTAACTCAGGGTTCCTCAACCTCAGCAACTTTAAGATGGGTGGACTTCAACTCCCAGAATTCCCCAGCCAGCATGG